CTATTGCAATATTTCCCTCACTTTGGACCCAGAGTCATCTGATACCAATTCTCCAATTTCTGCCATTGCATTTATAACAAATTTGTAATTTATTTTTTCTAACAATGCTTCAAAAGCACTAGAACGAACAACCCAGCGAGAAGGACATGGCTTCAGGTTCTTCATGGGACCCCTGTTATCATTATCAAACGACATCTGCTGCCTGATTTTAAAAGGACATTAAATTTCTTAGGTGAATTCTTTATCATGTAGCAATTTTAGATACAAGTGAAAAATTGTCCCGGACCAAAGTACAGTCTTGCAAACACAAGTTCAAACAATGTGCAAAGCAATGGACAGAAATTGCTGCATTGCTTTCTTCTTTCAATTGAGCTGCTAGGCCATGTAAATGTCCTGTCATATTTGCTGCTCCATCATAAGCTTGGCCACGGCAGTTTTTTAGGTTTAAGGAAAATTGGAGTAGAACATCTTTAACAGTTTTTGTTAAAAAGTCGGCATCTAATTGCTCCAGTTCATATAGACCAAGGAAGTCTTTGTGCACATCATAGTTTTCAACCCAACATATACAAATTGATAGCTGCTCTTAGTTTGAAATGTCTCTGGATTCATACCCTATAATGGTGAAGTATTTCGAATTCTGGATATGCGATAACAACTTTAAAATCACCGCTCGACCAAAAAGTTCTATACACTAATTTACTATTATTGAGACAAGTAGTTTTTGCTCCAATTTTGTAGCCCTTTTACATATTATGATCTCAGTAACATCAATTGTTTAAGGTTTTCCCTCTGTTTCTATATGACCACATATTGCAAGACCTTGAAGTAGAAGAAGCTTTAAGGGCAATAATTCTACTAAAAATATTTGTTGTCTTTTACTCTGGTTTTTTTCAATCTGCTTTAAAAGCTGACTTGTTACAGATTTTGCCGTTTGATTTATAAGCTGCTACTTTTCTAAGGCTTCCCTATGTGCATCACTTGCATGTGTATGCATTGCCTTCTTCTAATTTTCAAATCCTGTTGTCACGAAGGCAGGTTCCTTTCTTTTGCTCAAGTCAAATTTGTTGATATTTTCAATAAATTGACAATAGAAGCAAAATACCTTATGCCTTGTTATGCATAGTGTCAGCCACAACCATTTAGCATACCATGACTTTTTGAACTTGTCTGACTGAGACTGGCCTCCGTTTGTGGGGCATTAGCATCTTTTGATTCCTGTCTGTTAGTAAAAAAAAAAAGTAGGTGTTGTTTCTGATTTTTGTAATGGATTTTGTTTAACGGAAATAATTATACTCATGTTAGGCTAACACTTAGAGCGGTATGTTTTGGTTGGTAAAAATCCTCGATAAATACTGTAATTTAATAATCTATATTTGAATTGCATAACTTTTCATTAAGTTGAAACAATGTAGTTACAAAATAATAATTTTAAAAAGTGTATGAACATTAAAAAATGTTATCAATAAACTTCATTTTTTTTTTTTTTTAAACTTTACATTCTATTGTATTTTAAAATTGTATTACGTTCTATCGTATTTCGAACATTCTATTGCATTGATTTAAATAGAATATCAAGAACAATAAATTTTAAACATATTTTTTCTAAGCATAATTTTACTTGGTATGGTTATAAAAAAAAAATGATTCTACAGAATCATATTTTGTTAAGTACACAATTTGCATTGTTGATAATGCATATTTGTTGCATGGAAACTATTTATGCACACAATATGTTGACAATACACTTTTATATTTATTATGCTTTAACTAACTAAATAAATTACATATTTATTATATTTATTATGTTTTAAATAGTAAAGTAAAAATATAATAAATTTTTGAATTTAATAGTGTGTATAAGTCCTTTTATTTTAACTTTATCATTTTAATAAATTACTGCATTATAAGCAGACAAGTTTGACTGGTGATATAAATAATGTCTTATATCTTTCAGATAGAATGGACAAAGAAGTAAGCTTTTACATTTTATTTACATTTTAATTACAATTTATAATTAATAATACATTTGTTGCTACCTTGTTCTATAAAAATGTTACTAACATACAGGTAACATTTATATATGTGCATAAATCCTTTTATTTTAAGTTAATCATTTTATTTAAATTACTACATTATCAACAGACAGATTTGACTGGCAATATAAATGATATTGTACATCATGCAGATAGCTCAGACGAAGAAGAAAGTTTTTTTTAAAATTACAATTTATAAGTAATACTATTTGTATGTTACTTCATAAATAATGATATATTCATTGCTACTTTTTTCTAAATAAATGTTACCCAATATTTGGCAACATATAAAAAGTTGTGTGTTGATGCGTAATTATAAAGTAAATTATAATAGATAACAATTTTAAGTATAAATAATTTAGTAAATAAAATTAGTATATATTAATTTTATGATGTATTATCTAGATTGATGTATTATGATTAGTGAAATGGACAATGACACTGTGACAAAAACAATAATGAATATCAAAATGGTAATTTGTTTGACAATTACCTAGTTCTGCAATATTCATGTTCAAGGACAAAATGGTTTCTGCTACAGATAGCGGTACAATCGCACTTATAAATATCTTTGATATTTTTTGTATTGAATATGTTGTATTGATGATTCTTTTTAATTTGAAGATTGAAGTTATTAATTAATTAATTAATTAATTATCAAATATATATAGACTATTTTTATCAAATTACTATATAAAAAAATAAACATGTAAAATTGTTATATTTTCTGTAAAAATTGCTTTTTTAATCTATTTCAATTGTTTCTTACTGTATGTATATCACTTATAATATGATATTACTTGTAGTTTTTTGTTTTATTTTCAGTTTGCTTATACATATGCATGCATTAAACATTATGATGAAGTCAAATTTTAATGTTTTAGGTGCATTATAGTTACTATTTTTTTAAAATTTGTAGGATTCAACAAAGTTTAAAATTTATTTTATTTATTGATTTTATTCTGCAAAACCAATCCCATAGATTAAAAGAACTCAATAATATTAGCGAGTTGCATGATAAAATTTTCATTTTATAGTTTATATGACAATTGAAATAACATTAGATTTCAAAAAACTTGAAAACAAAACATTTTACTATACCATGGAAAACCAATGGAATTTCCATGGGTATTTGCATCACGTTTCCATAAAAAACCCATGAATTTTTTTATGGAAAAACCATGGATTTTCTATGAAAAATCCATGAGTTTTCCATGGAAAACCCATAGTTTTCACCAAGGACAAATGATTGTACCACTTCCAAGTGGAAAGCAAAGGAACAGTGGAATACTTTACCAAGCGGCCAGTAAAGAAATGATCCATCCCTCTAAAAGACAAAAACTTTCTAATAAGTCATCCAACTCATCATCTTACTATACTGGTTTTAGTGATTCTGACTCAGAGGCTGACAACAGTGAATATGAAAACAATGAAGAAGAAAATGAGATAACTCCTACACCAAGCAGAAAACATCATAAAACAAAATTGCAGTCAACTTGGTAACCTCAACAAGAGTATCAACAAACAAAGCTGCTAAAATATGCAAGCAACCAACTTGTGAAGGCATTGACATTCCAACTCCATGTCAATCAGCTACTTACAAGTCAACAATCAAAGAGGCAATCAAGCTGAAGGAAGAAATGATTGAAAAATTGCATATAGAAAGTTGGTCCTTACACTTTAATGGCAAGCACATCGACAGAATGGATTATCAAGTGGTCACTCTTAAAAATGAAAGAAGAGAAATCAAATTGGATGCCCTTGGTAGATGGCAGGGCTTTAACTATTGCTCAAGGAATTTCTAAAGTCCTCGATGAATTTCACTTATGGAATTCAATACAAATGATTGTTACAGATACCACCAGCATTAACACTGGAAAAAAGAATGATGTTGTTGTAATATTGCAACGAATGTTTACAGAGAAATGCATCAACAAACCTCAGTTTATCAGTTGTCAATACCGTGTATTAGATAGAATCCTCCATTTGATAATAGATGAAGAACTTGGAAGTAAAACACTATCGCCAAACATTGAATATCCATTTGTATTTCAACTGTTGAAGGAGTACGAACAACTGAAAACATAGTTTAATAACAGAACAGAAGTAATTCTCAATAGTAATTAATAACGAAACAGAAGTAATTCTCAAAACATCAGGCTGGAGAAATATGAAATTTTTGTTTCATCTCACTCAAGTGTTTCAATTTTTTGAGGAAAAAGAACATTTTCCATTGATCAGGTTTCAGAAAATACCCAACATCAGCAGTGCAAGGTGGAACTCCAGAGCTATACTAGCAATCCTGGGCTTCATTTTAATTTCTTCAACAAGGACAGTTCTGCAGAGAGTCGATTTATATCGTATGTCTATATCAAATCTATATCTTATGTCAAAATTGATTTTTAATAACAGGGTGAACTTTTTGAAAAGATATGCAAATAATAGTTCATTTCTTGATTTTTAGGTAAAAGTTCATCAAACTACAGTACAGGAGCATGGGGTTGATAAAAAGTCATAACCCTAATACACATACATGCACTAACGAAAAAAGTTCAAAAAATAAAAATAAAAACTTCAAATCCAAACTAAACAATTGAAATCGAATTGAGCACTAAGTAAGGTAAGTAATTGTAACAAAAAAAGGTGGTTAATTGGTAAGTTTGTAAATTTTAAATTTAAATTTTTTTTAACTTTAAACTTTAAAACTTGCAAGATTATTTAAATAATTAAAGACAAAATTAAAATTGCTTGCAAATTACTTACTGAAAATGTTTTACTTTTTAAATTTGCTTTTATTACAAATTAGTACTAACAGGTAACTTTTCATGAATTTTAGTACAAATATCAAACACTCATAGTTTATATGACTATTTAATAAGATAAATAGCAATAAACTAATGAAAATACCTTTTTTTTTAATAAAATTTACGTCAAAATGTGTGCATAGATAATAATGAATAAACTTACCATCTGCATTAACTGTTAGCAAATTTTTGAAGGTAGTGGAAACTTTATCCATTGTTTCAAATAAACTATGGTATACCATAGGGAACTAAAAATGTATGAACAATTAAAAGTAAAAAAAATTCAAATTTATTTTTACATTCGATTTGTGAAACACAAATTTTGGTTTACAACTTAAATTTAACTAAAATATTAAAAACTAAAACTTTGGGTGCACAAATTTACTTAAATAAATCAACTGCCTGTTATAAAATACATAGGCTATTCAGTAATTTACAATCCTTGTATGAACATACAATCAAAACGAAAATTGTTGTGTGAGTGGTTAAAAAAAACACAGTATTATCTCAAATTGCAAGTATTGTATTAATTAGTTCACTATTTGTTTAATATTTTATGCATTGTCATTTATTAATGTTATTAAACTTGGATCAAATATTTAAGAAGTTTTTCATAATGCCTTTACGATGACTAGTGATGAAGATTTTGTGTTCAATTTTTTTTTAGATTGCTCACATAATTAATTACTGAGCTGTAAGCAAAAATAACCTTTATTCAAATTGCTCTTAAACCCATCTCTTCAACATCTGTTAAGGACTATTGGGTCACAGAAAAATCTGGTCAATTTAAATTAAAATGTCTCTAAAACCATAAATGCTTTTATTTCAACCTTTTTTTATATTAAATGTGTTTACATCAATTAAGATTTCAACCTAATTTTAAGGGGCTTGATGGGTTGTTTAACAAGATGTCAAATTATATAGCGGGTTGATGCCATCGTTTTCAAGACTCCACCTGTCTTGCAAAGAAATCCATTAGCAATTGCCCAAAAATCTTTAATCTGATGCTATTTAGGACTTGGACTTAGAGGATTTGAATCATTAGGAAAATTTTTCACATTATCATCTTTGCATCACTGTAGAGCTTTTTTAGAATGGTGAGAAGCAGCAAGATCTGGCCGAAAGAGACATCGGTATTTGTGTTTTTCATAAATGGAAAAAATATTTTTGGAGGCATTTTTTGATGTAGAGATCAGCAGCCAAGGTCTTCTAAGTGACAAAACAAAAGAACTGCACACCATAGCTACAAATCACTTGCCACACAAGAAATTTGGGTGCAAAATTTTCTTGAGGAATATATTGAAACTGATCATCAACAGGTTTATCTTTGCTCTCATAGTAAATTTGATGACAAGAAAATGAAAAATCCACCTTGCAATATGATTAGTCATCTCCAATTATGAACATACTTTAATCTGTCATTACTTTAACTAATTTCTTTGTGCACCGAATTCCTTTAATTTTACCATTTAATCTTCTCTTAGGTGTATTTTTCTTATGAAATGCTTTAATTCCAGCATTTTTAAGAACTATTTTGATATAAGAATGCAAAGCCTCAAATTTTCTTGCTAGATTTCGATGTGACTGGTTCGGATTTCTTGCTATTGATCTGAGAATCGACTTTACTTTTTTGGATTTATGGAAAGTTTTCTTCCACTTCCAAACTTTTTTTTTGAAGTTTTGAGTAGTCTTAAACTTAATTATAATATCTATGACAGTAGATTTTGGAACATTTGTATGCTTTAATTCCAGCATTTGTATACAAACAAACAATATGAAGTCAATGGATTTTTGAAAAAGAAATCCACAACTTTTTTGTGCACCTCAATTTGTTTACAAAACATTTTGCACATCATTGATTTGTAAACAAAAATTTATCAACACAATTAAAGATGATTAAAAATTAAAGATAAGGAAGTAACGTTTAATTAAAAAAATTAATGAAATAAAAAGCATTCATGGTTTTAGAAAAATCTCAATTTAAAGTTAACTGGATTTTTCTGTGTCCACCCGATAATATTTTAAACACCTTTAAATTAATCAAACTTTATCTTTATCAAACATCTTTATCAAACATGCCGATTCTCTGTCAGAAATACTCTAGCTTCAGTTGCTTAAGCTTTATGCTTAAATTCATTACATTTTGAAATTCCAACAACATTATAGTCTTGTAATAGTGTATAATTTTGCATTAGTACATATGTTATATATGTTAATATATAATAATATGGATAATGGTCTAAGATTATATGTCAGGTCAGGTTATCCTGCTATTGGTAACATGTAAACCAGTACAACCGCTTCAGGTCCTGCTGCCTTGTAGGATATGCTTTTTTTAAGCAAATGCTAGGAGAAGCCAACTCTGACTTAAAACATTCCCTGCTTTGGTGATCTTGATTGAGTAAAGGCTAGAGATTGTCATCATTTTGGGCAGAGGTTAAATGCATCCGGTTACTGTCTTGAAGAAGGCCTCCTAGGCAAAGACTTAGGGGGTAAACAATTTCTATCTGCTGACCAGCCTCGCGCCCCTTTTTTATCTATAAGGCTAGCGTAGATGTATTTATAATAATTTGCTTCCAGTTTAAGATGTTGAATGCTGAATCTTTTTGACTCAATGAATGGATTTTGCTTGTGGCTCTGTTTTTATAACTGTTTTTTATGACTTTTGGCATGCATTATGAAGGTCACATTTGGAGCTCTTTGTTACGACAGGGTTTATTAATAGTAATGAGGAAATTGCTTACACTATTAAATAGTGTACTGAGTACTATCTGTGCTTTGAATCAAGTTATTTAACAAATTTAAAAATAACTAAAGTACCAAAAACTATAAAACACAATAAACCATCGTCATCACCAAGTTCTCTAAATCTATAGTCTTCAAAGTAACTTATCTTATGTCGAGTCTTATCTCTTGCAAAGTTCACTAGACTAATTGTTCTTTGTGAGACTAATTTGAGCTCAGCTACCTCATCTTGTGTCTTAGTGATAATGGTTATCTTCCTTTAATTCATAAAGAATCCATTAGTCACATGCTTCGCCTGTGACTATTGGACTTGGCCTGTGACATCATTGGCATTTACATTTCAAAAAATTCACCTATTTTTCGGGAAATTAGGTTGGAATCCACAGATTATTCTTTTATGTGCTTTTGTTTAGCACCACTTCACTTGATTGCCTTTCTCTATATTCTATATCCAGCGCTCAAAATAATTATTTAGAGGTTGCCGATCAACACTGATTGCCTGAAATGATAAGACTTAAAAAGTAGACGATGAAATAATTTTATTATTAGATTGTCATTAACTTTAAGATTTTTGTTATAAATATCTTGTATATTTATGATTATTTTTTTATATTTATATTACAAAATATATTTGTTATATTTATAATATAAATATTTTTATTATGGTTATAATGTAAAATATTTTTATATCTAATTAGTTAAAACTATAGTTTAAACTTAACGACTGTTTGCAACATTGTTTAGTTTGCAGCATTGTAAACAATTGTTTAGTAAGAACATTATTTAAAATTGATAAAAACAAGCAAATTAGATCAAAGTATCAAGCTCATTCATTTAAAGTTTAATTGTGAAAATGTTTCTTTCTCTCGCATTCTACGCAATGAAAAAGCTATTTAAATATTAATGATCAAACTTTTATGGTTTTGGTTACCAAAAAGAAATAATATATATATACTGAATTTTTTTACAAAAATGATACAAGCACACCCTAGTGGATATATTTCTTACAAAAAAAAAAGTACACTAGAAACGGATGACATTTTCGAAACCACCGTACCTTGTTCTTTTATGACCTAGATTTTAAAAATATTCTGTCGATATCTAAAAATATAAAAATGGTTTAAACAAGCTGGTTCAGAATTTTTAGTGTTTAAGATAGATAACTTCCAGAAATGGTGCTTTCATAAAATTTTGTAATAATCATACTAATGCAAAATAAGAATGTTTTAGAAAAAATTGCGACGATCGGTGCTTTCATAAAATTTTGTAATAATCATACTAATGCAAAATAAGAATGTTTTAGAAAAAATTGCGACGATCGGAGACTGGAAACAATATTAAACCTAAAATTTGGGTCCTTGTGTCCCATGTATGGTTTCATTAGAAAAAAAATTTTTTTTTATAATATCTTTAACTAAATTAAAATTATTCGACAGATTTAAATTTTCATACAAAAACCTCTTCTCTTTAAAAAGATATTATTGTTTTTAGTTTTTTATTCCCCAATTAACTTTAAAAAATAACTTTAAAAGGTCACAACTTTTAAACGGCATATTTTTTTGGAATGATATTTAAAATTTGTCGATAAATTTGATTCTAATAAATATGAAAAGAAAAAAAAACTCATAAACGTTTTAAGGCCGTTACGTTAGGGGCGTGTTCTTAGAGATTTATTATGATTGGGCCCGATCACTGGACACAAATAAAAAGAAGATTTTAGTTTTTTGTTGTGGTTTTTAGTGATATTTAAAATAACAACTTAAAAATAACTGTTTCATATTTTACAAACTAACTTTTCACAATAAATTATATATATAGTTAATCAGTAAGACTTTCAGAAAAGAAAGTATGACGAGAGTTATATGTAACAATAGCTTTATGCAATCTTTTCGAATAATTTTTGTGACATTTGGATACCTTGTAATCGTTTTCCTAGAACTGACTAAAATTTTGATGAACAGATTCAGAGGCTTATTTGCTCCAATAGCCTAGACCTTTGTTTGGATAAACACTTGACATCATTTTTTTTAAATTCTGCTGTATGTTTTACTAAAGCGTGTACTTTAGGTGATACTCTTAATCCAAGTTTATAGTAAGCTTCTTGATAATCTTTTACTTTTATTTCGTAGTCGGGTTCTAAACTCATTGCTAAACAACTAACTTTAACTTCTCTTAAGCATTTAAATGTCTGTAGTATGAAAGAAAGTTGTTCATCGTTATCTAGTGAAAAAGACTTGATCAAATCGTTCAAAATATCTATATTATCAAGAAGTTTTGAACACTGTCCTCCCTTAAATTGCCCACCATGAAGCCTTGGTCTTTTAAACCCCAGTTTTTCATTCCACTCCTCTGCTTTAAAACAAAATTCTTTAGATTTTGTATATGAATCAAGATAATTAAAAAGTTTGTTGGTGTTTCCACTGAGAAGGTGTAGCTCCATCGGAGCAGGAAGTTTTATAACCTTTGTTTTATCTGGTAAATCAATAAGTGGTTGGTGTACACA